TTAAATGGTTTTAATGTGTATCGTACCGACCGGCCTAATAAAGGTGGTGGCGTTGCCATTTATGTTAAGAATAAGTTCAGTGTAACCACATTAGTTTCCAAATCGATCAGTAAGCAATTTGAATTTTTAGCCATAAATATAGAAGTGGCAAAGGGTCAACAGGTCATGGTGGTGGGCTGTTACAGACAGCTGTCAAAGACTCCTTGTCTTCACTAGCAAATCTTTTATCACAACTAGACTACAAGGAAATAGTGCTACTTGGAGATTTTAACTGGGACTGGTTAACTGCAGGTCAGAGGATTTTAAAAACCTTTGTATCTCTTTAAATGTTACTCAGATTGTTGACAGTCCTACTCGTCCTAACATTAAGTCCCCTAATAAATCCTCCCTAATTGATCTCATTTTAACTAATGTTCCCCATAAATATTCATCTGTGGGAGTATTTGCAAATGATCTGAGCGATCACTGTGTTGTAGCCACAATTAGGGACACTAAGGTCCAAAAGGTTAAACCTCGCATTATCATTAAGAGAGACAAAAAACATTTTGTGGAGCAGGGTTTTGTGCATGATCTGTTTGATTTTGATTGGGGGTAAAATCGATCTGTGTGCTGATGTAGAAACCGCATGGTCTTATTTTTATCTTGGTTTTATGGAGATCATTGATAGACATGCACCCCTGCGTACATTTAGAGTAAAGGGACGAGACAATCCTTGGTTTTCTGCTAATCTGTCCAGTCTCCTTCATGAGAGAAACAAGGCCTGGGCAAAGGCTAGGAAATCAGGCTCAGAGGTAGAATGGCTGCATTTTAGGCAGCTAAGGAATAGCTTCACTTCACATATCAAAAGTGCTAAATCAAAGTACTATCTGTCAGTAACCACAAAGAATCTGAATAATCCTGGACAATTTTGGAAAGCCATTAAATCGTTATCCACCGGCGATATCCGTAATGAGCTACCTCCGTGCATTACCACAGCATCTGGTACTATATCGGACAGGGCTACTATGCTAAATTGCTTTAATGAGCATTTTGTGTCCTGTGGTTCTCTATTTGATTCTGTCACTAACTCTGCCTCTGTGAACACTACAGTATGTGACTCTGAAAAACGTGTGTTGGAAAACCCTTTTAGTTTTACCCCTTTTACTGTTGATGTTGTTCGTGAAGCTTTAACCAAGTTAGATCCTAAGAAACCGGCTGGCCCGGACAACGTAGAACCTTTCTTTTTAAAGATAGCTGCAGATTTGATTGCTCCACCTCTCACTACTCTTTTAACCTCTCCCTCAGCACTAACACAATTCCAAAATTGTGGAAGTCAGCTTATGTCCTGCCTTGCTAAAAGGAGGGGAGGCCACCTTATTAAATAACTATAGGCCAATCTCTAAGTTGTCAGTTCTGGCTAAGGTTCTTGAACGCTTAGTGAGTGAACAGGTAAAGGTGTTTTTATGTACAAATGACATCCTGTCTAAACATCAGTCAGGCTTCAGAAAGCAACATAGCACCATCACTGCCACAATGAAAGTGGTGAATGATGTGGCGAGTATTTTAGATAATAAGCAGAGTTGTGCAGCTCTATTTATTGACCTTTGAAAAGCGTTTGACACCGTCGATCATCACATTTGAATGCAGAGGCTAGCCAGTATAGGCATGTCCAGCCATGCAGTGGGTTGGTTTGTAAACTACCTCTCTGAAAGGTCCCAATGTGTTCATTTTGATGGGCTGTCTTCTGAGTGGTTGAACATTGCAAATGGTGTTCCTCAAGGTTCTGTTTTAGGTCCACTTTTATTCTCCATCTACATCAACAGTTTAGGTGAAAATGTGGATGAAGCTACTTTACATTTTTATGCGGACGATACCGTGATGTACTGTGCAGGTCCCTCCATTAAGGAGGCTGGTGTTAAATTACAGGCTGTTTTTAACATTATTCAGACTCAGCTCTCTGAACTAAAGCTTCTTTTAAATATTGAGAAAACCAAGGTAATGCTCTTTTCTAAAGCTAAAAAGACACCAGAGCCTGTTTTAGATATTGTAACTACGCAAGGAATAAAACTTGAAGTGGTTACCTGTTACAAATACCTTGGTATCTGGCTTGATGATTGTCTCACTTTTAAACTTCATGTCAATAACCTGCTTAAAAAGCTGAGGGTTAGGCTAGGTTTCTTTTACAGAAATAAGTCCTGTTTCTCGCTTGAGGCCAGGAAAAGGCTAGTCACTGTGAACTTTTTACCTGTGCTGGACTATGGTGATTTGATGTATATGAATGCACCTGCCAATTGCCTGGTCAAGTTAGATGCTGCGTATCACAGTGCACTAAGATTTGTGACAAACTGTAAAGCATTAACCCATCACTGTACCCTGTATGCAAGGGCTGGTTTGTTTTCACTAACTGTATGGAGGCTCAGTCACTGGTACATTTTAATATACAAAGCCATGTTAGGGAAACTTCCATCTTATATCTGCTCCCTGATCTCACAGAAAATTGTAAGTGGCTACTGCCTGAGATCGAATGCTGTGGTTTTATTAAATGTGCCAACTGCTAGGACTGTCTTAGGGAAGACAGCTTTTAGATGCGCAGCTCCTCTGTCTTGGAATAGTCCTGCAGATTAAATGGAAACTGAACAATCTGGTGCCACTAAATGTTTTTAAAGCTCGGTTGGATGCTAGTCAATCGGAAGCTATTGGTACCTAATCATGTGGATAATTATGTAAATGATGCTGTAAGATGTCCTTTGTTGTTCTATTTATGTTTTTATGTTTCATGTGGAACTACTTGAGCAGGTCTCCCTTGAAAAAGAGATCAATGATCTCAATGGGATTTATCTGTATAAATAAAGGTTTGAAATGAAATGAAATGACCACAATGTGGGCAAAACAACACTCCATTAAAGCCTTCACATGTCTCTTGGTCCACTCAGATAACTATGACGAAGAAAAGTAGCCTACTTTACATAGACAAATATTTGATTACAGACACAGTACCATATTTGTAGTGTGTTCCTAATCTGTCAGTGGCACATGGACGGAGAGGCCACAGTTCTTGGTTATATAAGTGATCTTTTTGACCTATACAGTGTAGAATCTAGCACTTCGAGCTTCCTGAGAGGTTTCGTTCTAAAATCCCAGCTCTGAATTTCCACTAACCTCCAGGGATCAATGTGTCATGGCTGGAGGCGCTGACAGACCTGTCTGTGGCTGCTTAGCACGAGATGAAACGCCTGCAGAGTGCCGACAGCGAAAACATATTTCAGCCCAGCAGATGTGGGAGCAGTTTTCACATAGTACAAGAAAAATCAATATTATGTTATATTTGTGTTATCTGTTTTGACTGTTCTTACATTGACTCAAGAGAGACAAATGGACTTAACAAAGTAATGTATCTTACTTGGGTATTTTAAAGCAGGATTCCTTGCCAGATAACCTCAAAAAACATTACGTTTCATCCACAGGGATTGTTGAGAGCAGGTTATCTGGATGTCACAGTAATGTTTTTGACTGCTTTTTCTATTTGTTTGGATCTGAATGAGCCATGTGCTCTTTTACAAACAGCCCCAAATCATCCACTAATGGTCACCTTAAATATCAAAGTCACATCAACAAACCCTGAGAGTCCTTCTGAGAAACAGACCCTTTATCAACCACTTCAATAACTTCATATGTTTGCGTGTGTGTGGAAACAATCCCACCTCCCACTGAGGCAAACAAAAGACCATAAGGAGGTAAGAGAGGCTTAAAGGACGGGGTTGAAAAAAAGAAGGAGGCCAGATCTGAACATTTCTGGCATTCCTCAGCTCCATGCAGCAGGAGGATTTTCTTTAGGGGAAGTGGTCGGTACGTACGAGAGCCACCGGAGCAGGACCCTGCAGGGAGCCCGGCTTTCTCCTCAGCTGGCTCAGTGCCCACCCCGAGAGGAAGAGCACATTAAAGCAAGAATTCAGGATATTGGCGGGCTGGGGTATTATCCAACCTGACACGAGTAAACAATCCTGAGTGTGTGCATGAGAGAAAGAGACTCAACTACAGTGGAAAGCATTACCCTCTGTTCCTATTCAGGATACTGGCATTTCCTGTTCAGTGAGTCTGGCTGATATTTATGGAAGACTTGCCCGAGAGAGGTCTTTTATTTTCTTAATGATACTCAGTTTCTCTAAATAGACATGCTGAGAGGAAAAGCAGATGAACATGTGATCGGTTCCAAACACCAGTAATCTGTTGTGGTATGGGGTCTGCCTTTACTCCCGACTAAACACAACTATCAACACCAGACAAACATTTTAACCTAATGGTTTTCATCAGCAGTATAATGGGATAGAGAGTTTATGGTGGTCGATTGATGGATGGTTATATGTGGTGGATAAGATAATACAAAAGGTAACACAATAAGCAAGTCTGACTTTTCTCTCTTGATGCTTTTTATTATGAAACACTAGTTCAAGAAAAGCCTCTAAAAACAATCCATATAAAACTATGCGAGTATTTTTGTATAGGATTAGCCAGTCATAAATGTATGATGGTGAGAGGTTGTTGGTAGATACTTTTAAGGTCAAAAGCTCAGAAAAGTTGGCAACCACTATCCTAAAGTATACTAAGTTCTCTTTGTTTAATGCCATTGAGCGCCACTAAAGTGCACAAGGACATCGTAAGCTATTAAACATCCACTGATAATGTCAGTCGGGATAATGCTTAAGGCCAGAAGTATAAAATCAAGCAGTACTGTGTCCAGATAATTCAAGAGGTTGACAACCATTGCATCTCTACTGTATGGGCCATGCAAGTAAAAAATGGTTAAACATTCAATTGGTCATTAGGTATTTTTCTTATTTTACATGCAAGCTATTTATATGTCAATAAAAACTAACCTGGAGTCTGTTAAATTAACACGCCAAAATCTGGAATATTTTTGTACTGTAGTAGTTGAGATTCCACAACCTTAATTAAATTAAAGTAATGCTGCGGCCAAATGTAAGATAGCAATGCTAGGAAAAACAATCACACACAAGCAGGAGTTTGATACAAAATGCACCTGTATTTTTCTTGGTTACATTTTGCAATGCATGCCATCAACATGTATTCATTTTTTACATAGCGTCCACAAGGACAAGTGCAAACCTGCCTGAAATTCATGAGCAGAAACAATAAGTAAAAGTTGACATGGTAAATAAGACAATATGATGTTAACATTCAAACACTGGTAAAAAAAAAAACGTAATTATTTTACAGATTAAACTTAATACTAACTCACAATATACATTTCAGTACTTTTGGAGAAATACTTCCCCAATTTCTACACTCCCGAGCATCTGAAGGCAAATGTCACTTATTTATATAAATCTTCAGTTGACCATGTTCATCAATTATAATTATTACAAAAGTATCTGTTGCTTTCTACCCCTGCCATTCCCTCTTTCTAAGACTGATGTCCAAACAATATATTAAGAGCCTGAAATCGTGTGTCTACAAAAAAGAACTTGTGCAACTTGGGCAATAGCCAACCAAATCAAATAAAAGTAAAACTGTAATGTTAACACAGAAGTGAGGTTGAACAAAAGTGGCACTTTGTGAATAAACATAATGTGACAAAACCAGTGGGTGTTGGAAAATGGTGAACATATACAGTACATTGCGACAGGTGACTGTGCTTGAATAGCCTTTGGTTGCTTAATATAACATTGAACTCTAATAACAAAATAAAAAGTGCTTCAGATTGTCCTTTAAAAAAAACTAAACTCAGGCATTGATGTGGCTTTTTGTGTTCAAGGGGGTGAAGTGGAACAACGAACACACATAAATAAACACATACAACAGTGGAACAGTCTGGCTTCATCGTTGGTGTCCTTTAATTCCTTTGTTAAGTACAACCATCTGTCAAAACCCTTTACCTCCTTCAACAAAACTCATCACAGTCTGGGTCAGCTGAAGCATAACTTGTTTTGATGAGAGCACACAGTGAGTGAAGTCATTTCCCAAAGATGCCTGTCCTTGGACACCCAGTTCAAAAGGCTAATTGGGTAAAAAGAGAAGCCAGTGTGTGTGCAGGGTGAAATAGCCACAGTGATAAGCTGTCACTTTAAAAAGGCAGCAGTGCAGTCTTGACACAAAATCCTCGTGTCTTTTCCCACTCCTTGCTCCTGCATCCTTATTCCTCTCACATTCCTTCCGTACAATCATAAATCAGCACGGGGAAGCGTGTATTACTCAAAACACATGCAGAGGTATTAAACTACACACACAACCCAGCTCACAGCAGTACAAGCAGGCATACAGCGTCCATATAGCATGGCCCCGAGTCAGATCAGGATCAAGAAGCTGCAGGCTCACTGGCGTTCAGCGTCTGCCCCGCGGAGTTTCAATTCCCTCAAGTCTCTCTCCACCTGCAAAACGACGCTCAGCAGATCAGCTCGTGCTTTATCTCAGGCCGCGTTGGAAAGGGGGGATCGTTGAAGGAGAAGGTGTTACGGCCCGCCTTGAGCCCACCCTGACCCGGGCACACGAGGTACGACCCGATCAAGTCCAGCTCGGGAGAGGGATTCGGGCTCTCGGGCTCCGACTCTGATTGGCTCGTCTCCGGCTCATCCAGGGAGGAGGCCGGCCTGGTGCTGATGTGCGGGTGGGGGTGGGAGTGGGGAAGGGGGAGCGAGTTCAGCCAGGGGTGGGTGAGGCATTCTTCTGCCGTGGCTCTCTTCCTGCACACACAAACACAAAAACACTGCGGATGAGTGGAAATTCCCGGGTAGTTTACATAACCAATGGATCCCCCTGGAGCTTCCGACGTCGGCCATATTTTTTTTGCAAAATTTGGTTTCGGAAAACCACAAAGAAAAGCACTTTTTGCACTCAAGATATTTTCCATCCATCTCTCACCGATAACTCAAACACTGAACAATCTCTCACTTTTTCCAATGCTACCAGTAATCCGCTGGAGTTGAACGATACTGACTGGAGATTATGGTTTTGGATGTGAGACAGAGGCTGCTGCTACTTCTCATCAACATATTGTGGCGATTAAGTACAGGCTCAATGTTTGAGCTCTCAATCAGAATTAAAATTAGAGTTCAGTTCAGCGGAAATAAAGTAACATAGCTTCACTTGAAATTAAACTGTACATCTTTAACGGGACACACAAAGATGATGCATTTGCGGTTTTTGTCATGTCAAAACACAAAGATCCGAGCTCTTTAAATGATGTCAGTTTTGAAAATATGGTAACAAGATTCGTGTCAGTGACACACATCTTGTTACCACATACACTCATTTAGACGCATGCGGATGTACTTCCGTGCTGCTGTGAACCTGACTGCTGTGTTAATAAGCTCAAAGTGATGCTGATGGAAACTTCTTGTGGTTTAGCCATTCTCAGAACAGCTTTGAAGTCAACTCACCTTGGGTTTTTAACTAACAAGGACTTGATGAAGTCAACCGCTTGGGACGAGATCCCATCAAACGTGTCCTGCGAGTAATCGACGTTGACTTGGGAGATGTTGAGGAATGTCTCCTGCTTTTCTTCACCCAAAAAAGGAGACTCGCCCGTCAGCATGACATAGGTCAGGACCCCGATACTCCTAGCAGAGAGGGAGGAAGAAAAAGGAAGGAGGTTATTAGGCAATTTGTCATCTTGGATAGTTACATAATCTGTTTTGCGACAGACTGTAAAAAAACAAAACATGTTTGGCTGTCTTCCACTGTGCTGCGGTAAATAATGAATTAACTGTAAGTATGTAGCAAAGACGGTGTTGTGGTCTAAGGTCTAGACTTGTCTTTTGCATGTCATGTAGATGATGATCGCCGTCCTGAATATGTCTTTATCCTCAGAAGTAAAACAGACTGACATCTGCACTTAAATGTTTAAATTAACTACAGTAGCACACTTACCACATGTCTGTCGCAGTGCTAATGGGTTCATAGTTCAGGATCTCTGGTGCTGCACAAACAAAATACATGGCCCCAATTAGTCATGATAAATTGCCCTCACTTGGAGAAGACACAGGTGATTCTGGGTATTTAAAGGGGATTAAAGCAGAACTCACCAACATACTCGGGCGTGCCCAGGATCTCCCGGACTTCTGTGATTTTGTCCATGCATCTGGACAAGCCAAAGTCCACGATGCGAATGTCCCCCAGAGGTCTGGCACAGGTCAGCAAGATGTTCTGGGGCTGCAGAGGGTAGACAGAGACATAACGGTTATTAAAGAAGCCTGAGGTCTGACGTCTGAGGTCATTAATGATATGGCAGGGTCAATCAGTCAAAACAGTTAAGGTTACTGGTTCCAGTAGGATTTGGGGTCTGGCACATCAGTAAGTATGCAGCTACATCGGTGGGATCATAAGCCAATCAAAAACAAGTAGGATATACATGTCAACCACTGGCATTGGTGAAAGTACACACAGAAAGAAAGGATGAAAGAAGGAAGATTTGTATTTATTTTAAAAAGGTCCCCACTCTTATTGCCAAATGAGGTAACACCATTGTGTTACCATCTAAGGGAATATAGTTTTTTTTTTTACTTGCAATTACCACTTATTGTCAAAGGGGCCGCCAACGTAAAGAAAACCGATATCTTTGAGATTGTAACTTTAATTCTGGGTCAGACCAGGCTATTCCCCTTAAAATGAGTTGAATAGCATGTGTTATAAGAAATTGATACTTGGTTAATCTATCAGATGTGTAGGTAGAAAGATAACCTCAATGATAACTGCCATGTTACCCCAGGGGCCGTTAAAGACAACATGATAGTCAATCCTGTAGCGTGTGACTCCTCGTGGGAACAGGGTCGTGACTCCCTGACTGAGCTGCGGTTGCATAATAGAAATGGTATCTCCCTCGGCCTGTCCCTCTACACTGTCCTATATAGATATATAATCTTTCAGTATGCTCACCTTCAGATCCAGATGCACCACATTGTTACGATGCAGGAAGGCCACTCCATTCAGGATCTGCTTGGCCAGCCGGATCACATCGTTCTCCGTGAAGGCGTCGTCGTTATCGGCAACACATTGGTCAAAGATTTCCCCACCGGCAGCGCTGGAAGGCAAGCACAGGAAGGAACACTGAGTAAAACAAAACAACGATAAAATGAAAAATAACTGTGGAGTTTAGTTTGGATTATATTTCATTTTTGTATTATTCACTTCAACTTGTCATAATAAATTAAGCCTTAAAATGCACAAATACACCCTTCCTTTCACTTTAAATCACACAAGGGGATAATAGCAAATTCTAACATGTCCCATTAGTGGAATTTTAGTAAACAAACCCAAAGTCATTTTTCCTTTCTTAAGAAAAATTACGAAACACCCTCGTCCTCATTAGTGTACTTTGGCTTGGAAGACCAAAGTCTATCCACATCTACAGACAGCATGTGAGTCCAACATTAATCAATATCATTTCAGGTTCCCGTCTCTGCATGTACTTTCCCGTTCCCAGGACTATTACTGGAGATAAGAATGGTCGTATAAGCTTACAGCACAGTCAGATAAGACCTTATACAGCCTGCAGGTTCACTTACTGAAGCAACGCAGGGGAAAAAGAGGCAAACACTATGGATATCAGCAAAGCCTACCCATTTTACATAAATTATCCAGAGAAGGCTGCAGGAAGGTAGTGTCAGGTAAGTATCTGGATACGGGCCTCAGCTTGTTGCTTGTTGGGTCAAAACAACTCACAGTTAAAGGATTAAACTTTTTTAGGAATTTCTTATTCGACATCTCAATATGGAATAGTCAGATTCTGGTCTGGACTTGTTCAGTTTTGTAACAACGTTAAATAAAGTTGAGACATGGTTGATTTACGATGGACGCTCCCTCAGTCAGATCAATGCCTGAAGCATCTTATCCAAAATAATTAAAGCCATGTGCAGGGGATTTAAATGGCAGGTATGCATTTTATTTTCAGAGGTAGACTTTGTGACCGGTCCCTGATCAGAACTGTTACATAACCAGTGCCGCCCCCAATCTCCTGTTAGCTTTCCATCCCTGATCTCTTTACTATCCTCAGCTGTGAAAATAGCACCCATGTTTTAGGGGATTTTTGAGGATATCCGTCATTGGTCTTTTTTTGCCACCAGCATCGAATACTTGACCTGCCACATACCCCTCTTGTTGAACACATGAGAGCATGTGGAGACTTGGAATGAAACTGCACTTAGTCTGTTTACATTGATCTGCACGTGTGTATTAAATGAAAGCATGTCTAGTGTTCTCGAGAAAGAGGAAATGAAAGACAGGGGAGTAGGGTTTGACGGACAATTTTTACTTTCTTGAAAAACCTCATGCCTCATTGTGAAAATGAACTGGAATCTATCGACTTCACCAGGACTTGAACTTTTACCGTACCTGTCTGAACAATTAAATACTTGACATGACAAAGTGTTCCAGCAGCTACATTAAGCTGTCAGCAGAGCGCCTAAGAGGATGTTAAATCTTGATAAAGACTGTCTTAAACTAATAACAGTGCACACCTTCTGGCAGTTCACTTAAACAAAGGCCTGCATTTTTTAGAGTTGTTATGGGTTCATAACTTTTTTTAAAGAGTACATTTAACCAGGAGATGACCATTCGTCCTCGATTATAGTCAGAGCGATTCATTATCTGGCAAGCATAGCTACTCTGCACCCAAAAGTAATGCTTCTTTTTCTTTTAAATTAACCATCTTTAAAAGTCATTATGCTGGGGGTTGCTGTGGTAATGACATATGCTGAAGATTTCAAAGATGATTACAATAAAATATTTTGCCTCCATTTCTCTGACATAAGGGATGTGGTTGTGGATACAAAAAGTGTGTGCGCACGACACTTCTTACCAGTGTGGAGGTGTGTGGTTCTACTGGGAGCCCAGCTTGCTGCTTACATTTAAAACCACAGGAAATGGAAAATGGGTCACGATTCTCGAAACCTAGGCTGAGGTCAGACAGTTTGAAGATGCAGCTTTTTCGGTGGATAACGGTCTCACTCGGAGTGCAGCTTTGAGGCTTTGAAAGCATGAGCTGACATTTTAAAAACGAAGCTTTTTAAGTGCTAAAATATTGTGCATGTACAGGCCACTCGATCTCCCCGTGCAGCACCAGTTGGAAGCCGAGAGGAACTGTGGACCACTGTGGACTGACCCCCTGCTATGTTTTCTCTGCAGGCATGCAGGGGTGAACTGTGGTGCTACTTCCCTTTTCACACTTCAGTCAGAGGTCAAACTCCCCCCCCCCCTACAGAGAGACTTTTGTTCTGTAAAGGCATTCCATGTCTGGGACTACTGTGGACTGGGGAGGAGGGAGGGGGGGCTTCCTGCCAGAGCAGCAGGCAGTTCAGGAACAGGGTCAGAGGAACATGGTTCAAGCATAATTGCCCCGTGTTATCTCCCTGTAATGAGGCGAGCGAGGTAATTAAGATGCCAAGTGTCCTTTCCAGATCCTAATTAGAGGTTGTCATTAGAGAACACTTAGTGGATATGCACCATGTCATTTAACGCCTAACCACAACAGACCAGAGCCAGACGGCTGGGATGGCCTTAGTGGGTCGTTGAACCAGCAGCTCCTCTCAGCTGTACCTCACCTGCATGATGAGTATAGAGAGCAATAAGTTCTCACAGTAGAGTCCTTGTCCTTGTGTCCTTGGGCAAGACACTTTACCCGCATTTGCTCCTGTGGGTAATGTCCACAGTAATGACTCTTACATGTCTAATATGTGTAATGTGTACGTGTAAAGCGCTTTGAGCACCTGTAAAAGCGCTCTAATAAAAAATGTAATGCATTATTATTATTATTATTATTAGAGTGTAACTCACTCGCTCATTATTGTTTTTTCACACAGTGCCACATAGGTATTTAAAGTTACGGTTCCTGACAGCCATTTCCCATAACAAGAAGCCGAGGTGTCGGGCTATGACGAGACAAGTAGCTAACCACAGACAGAGAGTATTTCCATTTAAGGCTGGGTTTTTGCTGCAATACTGCTATGTATTTCACACATGTGGACTTTTTTTTTTGTTGAGGTGAGTGACATGCAGCTGTGCTCTCAGCAACCGGCACATAACTCAAGCCAGGAAGTATTTTTTCACAGATGAGAATTCACAAGAAAACAACAAAGCATTCTCGTCATGCACAATACAGGATGTCGCTTGACGTGAGTGAATGAGTTGTTGTGGGGTTTTTTCAACCTTAAAACTTGTTTGTTGCTTATTACTGTAAGTAAAACTGAATATATATGCGAGGGAGTTTTCTACGAGCCCATTTGGGAAGTTTTGATTAATGGATTTTCTTCGCCATAATGATTGAAGGCCTATTCATTGTATCCGCAGTTTTCCTGGCATGGCTCAAACACCGACAAGTGAGGAAAGTTTAAAAGGCCATTTAAATCACTTTTTCTCAGATCAGTGGTGGTGGAAAAGGAAAAGAGTGTCAGACAAAACTGCTAAAATGTGAGGTCTTATTTATTCCGTGACCTTTGTGCTGTTTCTGTAATGTGTACGGCATTTTCTTACCACTCCAGAACGAGAATGATTTCGTTGTTGGTTTCGTAGACCTCATACAGCGCCACCACGTAGGGGTTAGCCTTGGCTGACTCCAGCACGGCGATCTCGTTCAAGATATCCATGCGGCAGTCCTGGCCCTTCCGTCGCTTTCGCAGGAACTTGGCAGCGCACTGCCTCCCCGTTGCCTTCTCGATGCACTTTTTTACCACCGCAAACTTTCCCCTGGGACACAAAAAGTAGGGGAGAGAGCAGAAAGTGATTAGTGAGGAGACAGAATAATCACAACCACATTATTGGCTTTCAAATATATTTGGTTTTGCGCTGGTTCTGTTCTGCATCCAAGTAGCCAATGCGACCAACAGATTAAATGTAGGCAAATGCAGCGAATGGAAGGACTAAAATTACTGCACAAACTCATGACAGTTAAAGTGCTTTGAGGTAAAAGCTAGATTACAGTGCAAGCCATGTGGAACAGCCCGCCAGCAGGCCACGAGTGCAGCACTGTAGGCGAGGTTAAATAACAGTTTAGAGATAAGAAGGTTAATCTGCATCATTTGAAAATACAGGAGGCGGTGTAATAAAACCTTCGTTAGAGATTTCCCCCGTTCTCCTCCTTTTCCTCTAGCCTTCAGGGGATTCTGACAGGGGGCAGATAAGGTTGACAGTTTTGGCAAGGGCTGCTAAATAGTGGGCAGGGACATGATAAGGGTCAGGTCAAGCAAAAACAAAGACATGCAACGGCTCGGTTGCTAGATGTTCCTGGTAAAACACGAGATTAAAGACCTCATGACTACCATTCATTTCGCAGCATATACATTGATGGATTCCTAGGAGGCTTTAAGGGGTCAGCGGTGGGTGTGGGGAGGATGTCCGATGTGTGCAGAATTGCCTCTCTTGTCACAATCACCAGCCGTGCCTCCCAGGCTGATAATGAGGCTTGTCCACTTCCCTTTCTTCACAGCTGACAGCAGCAGGGACAAATGGGATCGTGTTGACACCTCCGCCCAGACACTCGGACAGAGCCTGCGTCCCCCTTGACAATCGTACAAAAGCTGACCAGTCGGCTGATACAGCAGGACCACCCACCAGACAGGCGGGGGGTCACTGCTGCTATAGTCAGGTTGGAGCCTGAGCAGCATGCTAAAACGGAGCCTGTAGCTTCTGCGTCTATGTCCGACTAACATCTCAATGTTTTAATCAGCTGCACAATAGAGATCCGCTGCGATGGGTTGGGAAAAGATGACTGAGCTGGGCAGAATGTAAATGAAGTCAGAGAAGTCCAGTCAGCGTGGTGCCTGTTATTTTCCCACACAGCATTGCTCCAAGCCCACTGTGCCGGGACCAAAAACAGCAACTGTTCTGGCCAGAGACCGGTTCTGTTTTGGCTACAGCGAGGCCCGTTCCTTCTGCTTCTCCCCCCTAGTCTCGCAGACTGGTGACGACTCATTGTTCAGAGTGAAAAGGCAAAGCACGTCAGAGCCTTTTCATCCTTAATTAGCCAAGTTCAGAGCAGCTCGCTGGGGGTGGGAACTACATATGGTGTGAAAAGGAATGAACGCTGGCCACGTAAAAGAGCAACGGGAGGCCTTTTTAAAGGATGACAACAGGTCAGAGGTTACCAAACATGGCCATCTTCCAGTCGCTATGTTCAAACTCTGCCATGACACCAACATCACAGAGCTTTTATGTTGTATTTTTTTAGCTGTGAAACACTGACTGAAAACATCCTATCTGGATCCACCATGACGTCTATGCAGATCAAATTGCTCATTTGCAGGTTTGTCTCATAAAATCTGTCTGAAACCTGTCCGTTATCAATCGTGACACACAAAACTACCCCAGTACTGGAGATGGTGATAATTTGATCGAGAAGTCGGTTTCCTGTGGAGTCTGCGTTTTGTCTCCCCCAGCGGGAAACTGACTCATGTCTGAAGTGCGATGAGAAATGACAGCTCTCATTTGCCTTTTTCACAGACACAACATGAGTTCCTCTTTCTGATGGCATGTGTTGTGCACAGTTCTGCAGGGCACTCAGGATGTAAAGCTTCATGATGAAAAGGATTTAAAAATAAAGGCAACGAGTCTAATTGCTAAATGTATGCACCTCCTGCTTCTAATATGGTCAACTTCCCCCCATAATGTACGGACTACATAGCTGATCTGCAAGAATACATTCCTGCACTTAATGCGATTATGAGGCCTGTTCTCAGGATGTTGTTAAGTTGGAATCCTGGGAAGAAGAGGGAAACAGGATGATCGGTTGAGGTATGAGGGTGAGAAGAGGGAGAGGGGGCGTATAGCGCCCCTCTCACCCCCCACAGGATCTGGCTGGAGTCCCAGGATGTCCGACAAGGAAAACTGGCTGCTACCAACTGACTCTTTTATTTAGGCTGTCCCATCACTCTGCAGAGGAGCAAACCACCTTGCAGGGAACATTAGAATTATGGAGACAGATGCAGATTTAGCACAGAGTGCAATCAAACAGCTGTCGAGGTTAAGTGAAACCCAGGGGCTCAACTGCAGATCCTTGTGTTAATTCTGAATGCTTTTTGAGGAAAGTCATTATTGTCTGGCTCACTGGGGAATCCCCACTTAAATAGGCTACTTCTGGAATGTGCACATCAGTGAGTGTGACCCATAAAATGCACTTGGCTGAGGAAGGTTGGAAAAAAGTTTCTGATGCTAGATAGCCTGATAAAAAAAACAAGTATGTGACATGAAAGAAGCACATGAGTTCTGATTTAGACAACAAATGCATATAAAATGAATCCAATATTTGTAAGGACAACTTTGTGTTTGCTGTTCTTTAATTGTTGAATGATTTGTCACTTTGTCACCTCTGTATATGATACATTAAAAAAGGGATTCCAAACTGAAATTCAGCTCAAGGCATTTAGAAGTTTACATTTTGACCACCTCATACAGTACACGGGATATACAGTACTAGACCACATAAGTGTGCAGAGAGATACTATAACACAGTCTATATGGAGTTTTGATACTCAGAGTAAGATATAAGTTCACCACTTATGGCAGACATATAAGAACGATGTGTGGAGTCTCTATTTGTCTTACAAAACTTTCTGAGCATCTACACATAATGAATGACTTTTTATTTAATTTAAATTGTATACAACTATATTGCATTGTTGGAGGAGCTACGGTCAGAAGAATTGTATTGTCATTTTTAAACTGTAGCCTATGTGCATATGACAAAAAACCGTTGAATCTCTTGAAACTATTCCTTTACTCGCACAAAGACGCATTACCATTGCGCGTGCCAAAGTGCCATCTAACCCTTCTCCGGGAAAGAATGCAGGAATGGAAATGTCCAATTAACACGCTTACCATTGCATGGGCACATCTAATAACAAGAATGACACAAACTCAATATATTGTCGCAAACTCCATTCTGCCAGCACATGAGCAAAGTCAGTACACATATTCAATTATTTCCACAAATGCATGCTGGAAATCAACGAAGAAACTCACCTGCCCAGTTCTTTGCCGACCAGGTCATAATTGGTTGTGAAGGGGTCAGATCTTATCCTCGTGTGGATTTTTGTCAACATTCCGTTTTTGCTCATCTTCGCTGATTCTAGCATTGACGTCGCGCGTGAACTTAAGCAATTTTATGCCGGCGAAATAACACTCAACAAAGTATTTTCTCAAGTGAAAACTCGCATGATAAAAGTGCCGATCAGAGCCAGCAGCAGCTGTGTCAAACCACCGGGAGATAATCCAGTGCGCGCGCTCCAAAAAAGAGGAGGATGCCCTGCGGGAGTGTGCAGCACAGTCGGGGTGGTAAATTACTTTGAGTGCTACTACATATTCCTAACAATAAACTCCTGCTCAGGGCCCGCCCCCTGCGATGACGCTCGGCAGCGAAGAGCCAATGAATGCGCCGGAGAGGAGGTGCAAATCAGCTGGCAAGTGGTGCGTTCATGTGGCTGGAGCTTATCGGTACAGGTACACAAACATAAACAAAGACCTTTATCATTAGTTTCAGTTGAATAGTTCGCATAAAGACTAATAATATGATCAAAGGTGGAAGAAGTACTCAGTTCAGCAATTGAGTAAAAGTAGAACTATCAGAGTGTAGGAATACTCTGTTACAAGTTAAAGTCCTGCATTTAAAATGTTACTCAGGTAAAAGTACAAATGTATTAGCTTCAGAATATACTTAAAGTTGGCCCTTATCAGAATTATTTACATTGATTGATTTTAATCACTGATTAATTTAAAGTTATCAAAGCTTGTCAAGGGCAGCTAGTTTAAATTACTTTGGATGCTTTAGGATAGCTTGTGAAAGGTGTAACTACATTCTTATTTAAGTGTTAAATATATGTCAAATCATTCATCCAAATCCGCCAAGTAACTAAAGGTATTACATGAATGTAGTGGAGTAAAAGTATACAGTAAACCTCAAAAATTGAAAAAACACTGAAGAACATTACAAATCCTTTAAACCTGTTTCTTAAGTAGGCTACAGTATACTTGAGTAAATATACTTAGTTACTTTACAACACTGGAAATTATATTAATTATTAAACATGATAGTTTAGTAGTCAACTACTGCACACTTTATCTTCTTATAATGTACAGCAGTATAATAGTTTCATGTATCAGTTTAGATGTGTGTGTCCTAAATTCCAGCTAATCTTAAACTGAATAGGGAAAGCAATGCGTTCAAAAGTGTTTGTTTAATCAAAGAGACACCAACATTGTTACTTAACTTAACATTCACTGTACCTTTTAAACCCTCCTTTTTCCACAGCCCACAAATGTACTCCTAAAAAGACAAAACAAAATACTCAAACAAAAACTCATGAACAATCATGTGCTCAGAAACATTGCAGGCATGTTTTGTATAGTTGTTTGTTGTATGTGGGCTTGGCTGTGCTACAGGACTTTTTTCTCACACTCGTTCTCAGCCATGAATGTGAAGGTGACCTTGAGGCTTTCTGCAGAGCCTGTTTGTTTTCTTATCTGTGGGAGAGTTGTTTCTCTGCTCATTGAACCTACATGTCATCAAAGAAGAATTCAAAACATCCCATTAGACAGCTCCTCAGCATGCGTGGCAAGGCGGAAGAAACGTGGAAGGCTTTGAAGGGGACATCCAGTGTAGGAAAGATGATCATTCTGTTGTTGTTATTTAAAGTCATTGAAGAAAAGTGTATGGTATTTAGGGCCTGACTCCATGGGAAATGTGTCACCTAAGTTTCAGAGAGTGCTGATGCTAAAACGTTGAAACTTTGAAGCTGTTTGAAAGACAGAGGCCTTGAATGACCCCAAGCAAACAGAGCAGCACACTGACTCACAAGGCATATTTCCCCAGCTGAGAGTCAATTCCAGACGATAAAGGCACCTCTGCTGGAAGATGTGGTTTTCTGTCTGAGATTAAGCCTTGTGTTAATGAGAACATGTGACACAGTGTGAGCTTCCCATAATAGCATTGCTGTACTTTGTAGCAGTATCTGAACTGCCTGATTGCCCTTTGGAGCTACAACTAACAATTAATTTCATTGCTTTATATGAATAATTGAGTTGATTAGAGGTCTTGAAATGTCTCATTTTGTTTGAATGACAGCCTGAAACCCCAGGACTCTTCTTTCAAACAGAGAAGAGCAGTCGACCTATGATTGAAATGTTCTCTTTACAAAACTCAAAGAATATCTATGATTGATGGATTCCCCTCATGGCTGTCAACATCGTGATGGCTAAGCCAGCAGCCAGCAGCTAACGGAGCTGCTAACAGCGATACAGTGCAAACAGTTGCAACAGTGCTAACAGAGCTAGTGTTAACCTTCGGGGAGAGTGAGCGTGTGCTTTACACTTGGACTTGTTTATAATTTTGACTAGTGGATTGGGCACTCATGGTGTTGAATAATCCCCCTGTGACTCGATACGCCAGCATTTGAAAGAAATATCTATAAAACTGCTAACAGGAAACATTGGAGCATGTGAACAAGGTCAATTAGGACCCTTTTTATTTACATTTTTTAATGCCGGCATTTTGTAATGCCTGCATGTTTGAAAATGTTTCCTAGAGCCAAGAAAAGCAATTCAAAAATCTGTGACGAACATCCCCAGGAAGTTAAACCCAGGACATCTTGGGGTCCAGTATCCAGTTCATATAAAGCCTCTTACACACCAAACTGACACCAAAGAACACCAAAGAAGTCGGGACGCGTCGCCTCACGTCTCCGTCTCCTGCGTTGCCTCACGTCTCCTGCGTCTTGGCTATGTTTCGCACTGGAACACACAACAAAGACTTCAGCCGACGGCCAAGTTGCACGTACGAACTGCGCATGCGTGAGTGGCAATAACTCTCCTTACCAGCAGGTGTCGGTAGTGTGTATTCGTCATTCAAAAGACGCAACAACCGGAAGACAGACTGCGTGATACACCGAGAGAAGAAGAACAGACTGCGTGATATAAACAAACGACAAATAGCGTGTGTGTTCCATTTTCACTCTACAGCGAGAAGCTCATGGGGCTTTCCCGAACCTGTGTCGAGAGCTGGAGTCAGAATGAAATCTCAGATTTGCCTTCTTAATAGTTTCTTTGGGTCCTTCACTTCCGTTTCGCTTCTCATGCACTGATTCGCTAAGCTGAACAGCCAATCAGAGTGATTTCTTTGACCGATTCAACATGTCGAATCGTCGGCGGAAGGTGTCGGCACGCCCGAAAAGACTCGACGGTGCAGTACACACCAATCTGAGTAGGGCGACACAACGCTCATCGACGGCCCGACATCTATCGACGCCGAAAATCGCCTTGGTGTTTAAGGAGCTTAATACATCCATGGTATCAGCACAGTGCAGAGCGGGACCATTAGCTAGCTCGCATGCAGTCACACACAGCCAATGTGACACTCTATGGCAACAACACATACAGAGAGAATGTGACTTCACTATTTTGCACAGGACGGCATTACTTCAGTACATTTATTTTGCTGCATGGCATATATAAAACCTTTGAAAACTTTAAAGATTGTAAACTTGCCATTATAAAAGTGACCACATAATTTTGTGAAGAACGGAGAGACTCATACCAGTCTGTCCTCTTCATGTTTCTAAATGAGGACATGAGTGTTTGTGCTTCCTCAAGGGAAAAGAAGGAGTGAAGGAAAAAGAAAGGATGACAGGTCCCTCTGTACTGGTGTTATGGCCCATGGCTGAGCACGTTGCTTGTGGTCTGTCACATGCCCTACATAGCTGTTATCTAGCACACAGAGCACGATTTGTCCAACCTTACCATACCAAAGCTAATGTTGTTGCCACAAACAGCAACTGATGTAAAAGAGACCTATTGAGAGTGGACATTCCTCAGGCACTATCGAGTCATTAGTGTCCAGCGACAAGGTTACATAACCTGTTACGCTTCCTCAAATTGTTACCTTAAGTCTATGGGAGCCTACTTGGGAGCCTTGACCCTCCTTCTCTGCCAGCCTTCCCATTAAAGCTGGGGTCAGAGTTTACAGGAGCCACGTTAGTGAGGGAGCTCTACTCGGCCCCAGAGACCTAATGAAAACACATACCAGCGAATTAGCCTGCCAGCCTGCAGTTTAGCTAACATAAATATGAGAAGTTCAGCCGTGACCTCGGGAGCGCAAACACTTTCTGAACAAACAGTCCTTGTCATGACTGGGTCAGAAAAGGCCGCTCTTGTTTTTCGACCCTGGCTGTAGATTAAAACAAGTTTTCAAGATATGGATCTGATTGATGAAAGAGGGATTTGGATGGATCACAAGGTTATGGGATAATGTTTGCCTGAGTTTGTATTGATGAGGGTTAGGCAGAGGATGTAAAAGGTTGCGGGTAGAGTCACACAAGCATGTGGATGTTAAAGAAGTTGCAGGGGTGAGGGTAAGTGTACACTATTTAGCTCTCTGAAGACTCCCTGAAACCCAGTCTCACGGCATTTCGTGTTATAGTCACGAAATGTAATCTATTGATTCGTGTTCACCAACACGATTTTCCCCTTTTTTTCGTGTCACACAGAACGATTTTAAAAGCAATGTATTTCTATTGGTAGTGTGCCTGCACCACGTCTTTTTGTCCGGTCGGGTCTTGGAAGACGGAAACTGTGTGGTTCATAAAAACATGTTCTTACTCAATATCAAGCCACGATTATTGTTTTTAATTTTAAATCGTATAATGTCTGACTTTTTTTGCTGTCGGCGAGGAAAATAAATGGGGGTCAGAGCCTCAGAATACTGAAATCTGTATTTTTTTAAATCTTGTTTTTCTTCTAATTTGTTATTCTTTTCTAAATAACACACTGTTATTTACTCAACAATAACACACAATTATCCTTGTTTTTATTTATTCGATCTTTTTTGGCGTCCATCAGGAACTGAATTTCAAAATAAAATAACCGGAAACAGATACACACCCACTGAACTGATTACCCAAGATCCTCAGCTATGGTTTAAGCTCGGTGATTGGATTGTTTAGCCGCAATGCACGTTAGGATATGGTGTTTATGCGATATGAAATCCGAAAAACATTTAAAAAAAGAAAATAATACTTTATTCCGAGTGTGCTTGCTTTTCTCTTTGGAAGTCATCACATAACGGCATTGTAATACACGGTTCGGCTGCATTGAATATTACACATCTGCCATAGTTCTTTATTTATAGAGCCCTGATTAGAAGACCTTTGGACAAACTGCAAGAAATGCCACCGAAACTGAATACGTGATGTGGATCATAAATATATCAGCAATTAAACAACATCTTCAATTCCTCTTCACACAATACGTCTCCTTGCAGTATCAACACTAATTCGGCTGAC